CACCGCCGACGGCGTGGTGCCGTTCCTCGACCGAACCATATTATCCCTCGGCCATTCAATTATAATTGAACTTAAACATGATTTACTGAACATAAATAATACATAATGGTCAAAGGTTATAACTTAACATGAAATGGTACTCGGTTGGCCGTGGTGCGCACTACGTGTGCGACCACACCCCTCTCGGCCAACCTTCTACTAACATGAGTAAAATCATCCGAATACTTAAGTTCAATTAAACATGATTTCGCAAATAAAAGCTAAGTATGTGAGGATTATCCAGAGAATTTCATGAAAATAATAACATGATTCGGTGAATTAATTTATAACGATACATGAACGCATGGCTACGGGTATAATTACTCAAAACATGCATGCATGACCTTAAAATCTCGCCTTAATAAACATGCTAAAACTCTCGGTCGTAAGACGACGGGGACTTACCTCTTATAGAACTCAAGAGGCTAAATGGCTTGGAACCGAGCTCTCGGCCGTGACTTCCGCGTGCGTTGCGTTGTGTGCGTGAACTCGGACCTCCGCGTGCGCCGCTGCTACTCATGCGATACCCGCGGCTCGCGTATGAGGGTTACTTGCGTGCGGTACGTCGGGTTGCTACTGCCCATGCGCGAGAGCTTCAGACGTGCGAAGGATCTTGGCGGAGGCTCACGCACGATTCTTACCATGCCTCACTTATAACTCTCTCATTCTCGGCATCGGAGACTAAGGCGGAGAAAAATGGACAACCTTCCCCCAAGGCCAACTTATAAGCGAACGCACATGATGGGGAGGGGGACACTCGGTCAAAGCTCAAGGCACTTGGCAACCATGCACTTTATTTGTCTCACCCTCACGCGAAAATGCAAGACATGGAGGAGAGAGCCCGGCCAAGCTCCACTTATGCACACAGCAATTTCAAGGCAAAATGCACCATACACATGCACAAAATACAAAATGAGGGGCACGGATTCTCACGGAGGTTTGGACTATATGGAAGAGGAATCTTGGTCCAACACTAGCATCCATGCCACTACACTACACCTTAATCCGCGCGGCACTATGCACAATGAAGGGGAGAATCTTTGACCGAGGCGCCACATGGAGCACACGGCACTTGGGGACAAATCTCATGGACCAAAATCCTAGCAACGCGTTCCATGCACATGAACTCGGACCGAAATGCACCAACACTTGCGCATATATAGGAACGCACGGCATATACACATGCGCACGGCAATGGCATGGCTCGGAAAAAAATCCGAGCAATTAACTAATTTCGTGATTAAGTTAAATTAATCACTTAATTATGTCTAATTATCCAATTAAACATAATTTCTAAATTACCAAATTATTTCGAACGTAAACGGTACGTCGAAAATATTTTCCGGTAATTTTGACTGGAATAACTGCAATGGATTAGTTCCGAAAATTAATATCGGAACTAAAAACATGATTTATACTGACAAACCGACAAAATGTCGCTGACTGAATAATTAATTTCGGATCGGAATTAAATCTGGAAAACTTATTCGGTTACTAGAAATAGTACCGAACAGCTTTATCGACTAATAGTCGAACATAGGATATGACTGACTGTTCAACTGAACTTGAACATGACTATTTATTAACAAAGGCTAGCTTAAACTGAAAGCTAGTATTTCCTTTGTTAATAAAATACGGGGCGTTACAATCCACCCTCCTTAAAATATTTCCGCCCTCGGAAATACTAAAACTGGAATGTACAAGCTTAACTTAAAGCTTATACTTACTGATTACATGACTTGAGAATCCAGTAACTTATAATACCGAATACTAGACTTGATCTGAACGGAAGATACATCAATTCACAGTTAAGTGAATTGAACTGCTGACTGAGAAGGGACACTTCCGAGAATAAAGTGTTCCACTGATAACCATGATCTCAAAACGAGACTCTGAAGCGTGTTGATTATCATCATCTCTTGACTGTTGGCTGGTCTCCAGTCTGAACGCTGGTGGTGCAAACTCCTGTCGTTGGTACACACGGAAGATTCCAGAGATACACATATGTACAAACGAGGATAACTAGCTATATTGGTAATTACTTTTCGTGACTGTCTGTTTGACAACGCGGCACATCGTTCGAGGCACATTGTAATGCGGCACACCAGCTCCTCATCAAGTGAGTGCGGCACACTTCACACACAGCACCTGGCGAACCTTGCACCTGCGTCGTCGTAATCTGATCGTATCTATACCTAAAGCTAGTAGCCTCAATGTACCTTTTAATATTAACTCTCTGTAATCTCCCGGTGTACTGAGATTCAAGCAGGATATCCCAGGGTGGAAGCATTGATTTGTCATTATGGCACGATCTGTTGCTGTCGGTTGGCCCTTCCTCGTCGCGGCGTATTTCAACCTGTGGTACCTGCAACTGTTTACTCCCTCCGAGGTTAAACTTAACCTCAAGAATATCTCTCACGATTTCTCAAATTCTTCGGAATTTGAGAATCGAGGCGAGGACATGCTGAAAATGATAGGTAAGTCTTGTCTTGTTAGACAGACTATCCTTGATCTTAACATGACTGGCCTGAACATTCATATAACTGAATGATCATGAATTGACTCTTACATGACTGAATCATCTCGCTTGAACGCTGAAGCTATCCCGAGACAACTTAAATAGTCGCTTCGAGATTGAAAACGCGATATTTACTGACTTACTTGACTTG